AATTATATAAGATTATTAAAAAGATTAGGTATAAAAAAAGGTGTGATAATAATTTGCTTTTTATTATAAGATTTCGATTATTTATAATTAAAATTGATACCTTAATTCTTTTATTGATTATTGAGATGAGTTTTTTCTTTTAAGTTATTATAAATACTTTGTTATTAGACCATTCATGAATCAATATCAATAATAAAGAGTTTATTAAAGTAATTAACCAAAGTATTAATTAATTCTTATAAAACCTTAAATTTGAGATTAATAACTTATTATTTAGCAATTTTCCTACATTTAATAGCAAGCTATTTGAATTTAGTGATAAAGTTATTAAACGAAGTCTTCTTCATCTTATATTTATTATAATCCATAAAGGTTTTACATAAAAAATCAAGGATTTAATATTGTTTGTTCAATTCACATCAAATGCTTATTATAGTACATTATCTGGGAAGTTAGAGATTGGAATTATACAGATTATTAGTAATTATATCGAAGTATATCTAATTATTTGTATAAATAGAGTTAAAGAGTAAATTAATAAAGAATATAATTTTTTAGAATTCTGATTTATTTTTGTAATTTATAATTAAATAATAATTAATTATACTATAGAATATTATATATTAATTCTAGTATTTTACAATATCTTATTTATCATTACTAAACTTTTCGAAAATAATAAAATACTTTTGATAAAATAGGGTTTGTGGATTATTGTAAATAGCAATTTTCAATATTTTAATTGTATTCTTTAACTCAATAATTTTTGAATAAACATTAGTAATTTAAATTTATACTATAATAATTTAAACTTATAATAAATTTGTAATCGATTTAAGTAATTCAAATATAATTTGAATAATTATAAAATATATAATATTTGGGTTACTAAATAAATCTATAAACAAAGAAATATCAACTTTAACAAAATTGAAAATATAATTTAAAAAAAAAAACTATAAAAATAAACCAAATACAAATACTTGATCAACTATCTTTGAGATATTTCTATAATTATAAAATAATCTTATAGAATTCCTAAATAATAATAATTAAAATATATAATAAATCAATAATAAATATAATCGATATAATCAGATTATAATTTTGATAAAAATTTAATTAAAATAAAATTATAATAACTTTTATAAAGATAATATAAATTATTAGAATATAGATAAAAATTTATATTATATTATAAAGGTAGAAGAGTTATGAAAAAGTGAGGCTCTACTTATAAGAAATAGAGCACACTAGTAGTCTATGCTTGAGGCATGAAGGCAATTACAGAGCATATAGTTGGCGCCGTGACATATAAATCATAAAACTATTAATAGACTTTTTGAATTTTAAAGGAATATTTATAATTAATCTTATATTATTGAAATAATCCATTTTAAATAATCCTTGACTATTCTTTTTTTGATAGAAGTAATTATTTATTATTATTATTATACTTTTATTAGTAATATAAGAAACTGTATTATTACTACTTTTCATCTCTTTAAGATATATTTAGAATATAATATTGAATTTCTAGAGTTTATTAGATATAAAAAGAATCTTATTAAGTTTTTAATAGATTATTAAAATAAAAACTTAATAAATAAGTTTCTATATATCAAAAAAAAACTTGACCATCTATTTAAAATAACTTATTCGAGTATAATTCTCGATTTAGAGTCTCTTAAACTTAAGAGCAAAAGATTATTTATATAGTGTAATATTATTATGAATATACTAACCCCTTTGAAATATAAGTATAATCGAAATCTCATTTTTTTTAAAACGGAATTTAGTAGTATAAAGGAATATACTATAACTCTAATTACTATTATGATATATAATAAATACAAATTATTACAAATGGTCCTCTATCAAAATAACTATAAAGAAATATGAAAACCAGCATATAAGATTGTAAACAAAAGAAAGATTAAGCCTCTGATTGAACTATTTATACCTTGAGTTTCTCAACTTTTTTCTAATTTGTTTATAAAGAATAATTTGATTGATTTAAAGATGGTGAAAATAATATATAATACAATAGCTGTAGTTACAAATAATTTAGAAATACCTGAGATTGAAGTCGAATATATAGGCTCTCAAAAGATCTATAAATCTCTTATATATTTAATAATAGATTTAGAAAAGATTATAATCAAATATAAAAATATAGAAACTCATCTTACCATCAATTTGTTTTTGTTTTTGATAATAAAAAAGATCTATTTTTATTTAAAGAAATCAGATTAGCTTGCTTTTCAATATATCATAACAACATTCCTCAGAAACTATATTATTTTATTCTTGCTGATTAAGTCAATTGATTTTCAAATATATAACCCTAAATTGACAGAATTGATAAAGGTAACTGCATAAATCTTCCAGTTTTTTTTGTAGTATCTTTTTGGGGGGAGGGGGGTATCTCTTGTCTTTAAATGACTGCTGTGGTTTGAACATCGTGGCAGTTGCAAAGTAAATTTGATCTATGAACGTTATTGTCATCCATACGAACACAGCTACACTTGAACAGGCCAGCCATTTGCAGCTGAAAAGGGATTCTATGCTTGGAAGTTCGTTATCGGATTATAGTTCAATATAAAAATGACCTTGTAGAATTTTGTTGGCGACTTGCGATTTCCTTCGTTTGTGCTCCCTTTCCAACCACCAAACCACAAGAAGTCCCGTACATTGTGAAAAATCATGAAATTGCTAATAAATGTAAAAACAAAACAAAACCTAGTTTGTACTGTTTACTTCGTACACCAGATCCTGTCACAACATCATTCCGTAAAGAAGTGTAGTGTTTGGATGGGTTGCAATGGGTTTGTAGGGGGGTTCGGGAGGGCAACGCGCCATCATACTTTCCCCACCCCATTCCCCACTTAAATATTTTCTTCTCACGAGCTTTTCACGTGCGTGGAACATATCGGTTTTTAGTCGTCTTAAATCTTAGGTCGAAGTAACAAGCTTTTCCGAGTACATATCACAAACATATCGTGCTGGTGAAGATGGATACCAAAATGCCCAAAGCTGTGAAGCCTAAGCGTCGCAAGAAGAGTCAGTCGAGAACTGAAGGTATGTGTATTATCATGTTTGATGAAAACCATATATATACTAATATCAAAATAGTAACAAACATATCCGACAGTGAAAGTGATACTGCTCCTAAATCTCAATCTCTCAAGCCAAAAGCTCAATCAGCAGCTGTCAAATCAATCTCTCAAACTACATCAACTGCATCAGTCAAGACTCCATCTGTAATTTACACTCCCCTCCAAATTTTCTGAGAATTTTGTTGACCTATTTCCAGAAACCAACTTTAGTGAAAGACTCAGCTCTCGCTGAAAAGTTCACATCACATTATCTTCAACGTATCACTACTGAATTCTCTGAAGACCTGGATAAGATCCGTGAAGCGGATGATTTCAATGAGAATGCGTTGCAAATACTGGTGCATGCGTTAAAGCAAGGTACGGAAGTTTGGGGGGAGGAAGAAATGAGGAGGATTGTTGGATAGGTTGCGAGTGTGTATAGAGATTGAGGAGAAGTCGAAATATGGAAAATTATGTGACGATGACCGAGTTGGTGAAAGACCAGCGCGGATACGTTGTTGGAAGACGACACCCATTCTGGTGATGAGAGCAATGGAAATGGGCCAGCAAGGTCGTGAAATTGGAAAAAAGTGCGCTTCGAAGCGTTTCAACCAACCGCCAAAATGGGGAAAATTGGATGCTAGTCTCAAGAGATATAGACGAGGCGAATAGTTACTATGTACAGACTATTGATGGCGTTACGGTTTCGAAAGGAAGTCAAAAATACCATAATCATATCTCTTTTCAGATGCCCGATGTTAAACATGTACTTTTGGGTATTTGAGGATCATAAATCACATTTCCGCAAGTAGTTCATACATCAGATGTATTGACATAGTGATTATCAAAATTTCTAAAATGTGAACCTCAAATATTGACTTCGGTCAGATAAGCTCAAAATCGAAAAACAAAAAAAACACGATCTCTAAAATCCCGGGAATAAAATCCCAGAGCCGGTCTTATTCCCAGTCGATGTAATTCTTTAAAAATTGGCTCTGAATCTGTTCGTGTAAGTTAGAAAAACGAGTGTAAAACTCAGACGTGCAACAAAAGATAAATTTGAGCGAACACCACGTGATGTAGAAAATGTCTAGCGGGCAAGGCGGTGATTTATCTTTTTTTTCTGTCAAAGTCTCATATTTACGATGTCTTTCGGTTTGCTATATCAATTATAATATATAAGCCTAAAAGTATGGTGTTCATGTAGTCTTGAGATCACGATTATGTAGTGGTCACTGTCGTGCATGAAGTGCTGGTTCAATGTGGGAAATGTTAGTTCTCGAGCTTCCAATTATCCTGCCAATCATTGGAAGGTTCTGTTGTAAAGACTTGTAAGGCATATCTGTTGCTAAAATAAGGAACAATGTCACAATAATAGAAACAAAACAGTCTCTGGGTTCTGGCTGCCTCTGCGCGCCCTGTATTCTGCTGAAGAAGGGTAAGGGAAGGGTAAGGGAGTACTAAGTAGGTAGGTAGGAGGTGGCTGCGGATTTTCTGAGCACGTACAGTAATGTTTGCGCATATGAAGATGGTTATACAAATACAGATCGACCTCGAATTGAAATAAAGATAAAGAGTGCCAAAGCTGGGGCATAGGGTAACAATGGCTAGGCCTGGGTCATGGTAATGCAGCGGGGTAGAAGCCAATTCCAGTGGTAGATTTCTGCTGGCTCTCGTCATTTCTTCAATAGGAAATCATAAAGGTTTCACTTTTCTGTCATTCCAAGGCTCTAAGCCAGACTTTTCAACATATTCACATGAATCACTTTTATATTTCAAAGTCAATGATTGAAAATTCAAGCATGTTTGCCATAGATTCTGCGTAGCATTGAGTAACATCTGAACGACACCATAGCGTGCGAAAATCTATTCCTTCATGTTCGACTATCCATTGATAATAATTTATTTGTTGGCATCATCGAAGATGTAGGTCAAGTGGCAACGTCCACAGTATTGACGGTCGTGCATGGCAGCCATGAAAACACCGGCACCACACTGAAGATTTGTTAGTAGCGTCCAAAAATACTAATTAATGAAGAATAACTTACGTCTGGAGTTGGGCACTCTCTGCGGAGACGCTCGATCTTTCCATCACCATCAACCTTGTAGTACTTCAATACAGCGAGCTTGGTCTTCTTGCGCTTGTGCTTGATCTTCTTTGGGGTAGTGTAGACCTTCTTCTTGCGCTTCTTGCCACCACCACGGAGACGTAACACCAAGTGAAGAGTGGACTCCTTTTGGATGTTGTAGTCGGAGAGGGTGCGGCCATCTTCGAGTTGCTTTCCGGCGAAGATCAATCGCTGTTGGTCGGGTGGGATTCCCTCCTTGTCTTGGATCTTGGCCTTGACATTGTCGATGGTGTCCGAAGACTCAACCTCGAGGGTGATGGTTTTGCCCGTGAGGGTCTTGACGAAGATCTGCATGACTATCTTTAAAGAGGTGTTAGAATTCAATCATATTGAATATATGCGATTTCGCATTCAGATAGTAATAACATACCTGGACAACGGTTTAGATTGTCTTCCTCAAAGGTCTTGTAGAGTTCGAAAAGAAATGTTTGAGATTATTGATAGGGGATTTCGAAAGTCTGGTTGTGCGCTAAAATGCGTTAGCGCCAAGCTAGGTCTCGCTTACCAGATCACACAACTGAATATTGAAAGATGTTGACTTACGAGATTTCAATCCTACGAACGACAATCGCCAACCAACAACCAAAGATTTGAATAACCTGCCAATTCAGTAAGTTTACAGATATCTTCAAAGTCGATCTCTAGACAAATTTAACAAATTATTTTAGAATCCGCAAAAATGGTCAAGAAGCGCGCGTCCAAGTACGATTTCCCACCCCATAATCTTAATTCACGACGAGCTCTTCGAGAAATGATACAATCGTCGTGATTATATCGACGTCGCAAAATATGAAATACTTGGGGAATCCGGAGGCTGATTGATTTTATAGCGGACGTAACAAGAAGGGTCGTGGTCACGTCAAGCCCATCAGATGCTCCAACTGCTCCCGATGCACACCAAAGGACAAGGCGATCAAGAGATTTACCATCCGTAACATGGTTGAGTCCGCTGCCATCCGTACGTTCCGAATACTCCAGATTATCCCCTTTCATCGATTTCGCATAAAATATGGAATATTAAGAGATTTGGGAGATGAGAGACTTTAGACTTTTTTTTTTGCAACAAACGCTAATACGATTCTACAACAGGTGATATCTCAGAGGCATCTGTCTTCTCTGAGTACACAGTTCCCAAGATGTACCTCAAATTGCAATACTGCGTCTCTTGCGCCATCCACGGCAAGATTGTCCGGTATGTTAATGCTATGAGATGAATCCTTGGTTGAACTGCCAGTAAGTTTAACCCTTGAAGAACACTTGGGCTGATTCCCTCTTCTACAGTGTCCGATCCCGTGTTGGAAGACGTAACCGTGCCCCACCTCCCCGTGTTAGATACAACAAGGACGGAAAGAAGGTCAACCCAAACCAAGCTGCCGCTAAGGCTTAGAGTGCTTTAGGTTGGGAACGGAGGAGTTATCGACTGGGTTTTTCGGGATGCATTTTGTCTTAACCAATTTCTAATGCAAAAAGCATTGCTTAGACAAATATGACCTCATTGACTGATGATAAATCTTCAATCAATATTCTCAATCCTTCAGATATGTGATGACTCACTGGAAACTGCTTTGGCCGGATCTTCATTGTGCATTCAAAACTCCCATAGTAACAGAGGAATATGATCAGACCCTTTCCGTTATTTGCCCAACTTCTACATGAAAAATTTCCGTGCTCAGGTCTTGAACAACATTTGTTCATTCCTTCGTCTGATGGCCTGCTCGGAGGACGGACGATTGGATGACTTGTTGCATTTTAGTGGGCATCAATCATGATCGTGATGCTAGTTGCTCATTGCAGGTGCTAGGGTTCCGTGCATGTATGTGTTGAGCCAATCTATACTCAGTTGTGACTACATCTTTTCAGTCACTCTTAGACATACATCGCTCACGTCTCAGTGAGCGGTCGTTCTCAACATATTCGTACACAACTTTGAAGCATAAACAGACTTGTGCATATCAGCCATGTGATTTGTGAGTTCTTGACATCTCTCTATTCTCTACACAGCCCTGCACACGGGATACAGCTTGGGCATCGCGTCGAAAACCTAATATCTGTGATCCAACATATCCAACTCGACGACACAAGAAATGCACCACGTTGAGCTCGAACAATCTGCACTTACAAGAAATATAGCGATTGTACTCCCATTCAACAACCAGGAAATGAGAAGTAGCGTACTAGAAGTTTTCATAAGAAATTATGGTGCTTTTGATACAGAATAATTCACAGATTAGAATGGAACTAGGGAATGATGAAGGAGTGATGATGAAGTGATGATCATGAGGCGGGGATTTAGATTATCGTTTCATTCCTTATATGGTACACCCAAGAAGAGCAGGACGAGGACGAGTCCTCCCCAAGGAAATTGGCTTCACGACGTTGACGATGGAGAAACAAGAGGTAATTTGAGAGGAATGGTTGAAGGGGAAATGCAGATATTTGCTTTTCTCTATATTTTAGAAATCTTTCAAAATCTAGCATTTCAATGATTTGAGCTGAATTTCGACAACACATGTTTTCAGACTTATAAATGTGATTGCAGTGTTTGACATATCGGAAACTTGTTAACATTCAAAGCTTCAGTGCTAAACCTTGAGAGCTCGTAAAAAATCGAAAGATCTCTCGACATTTAAGAGTTACATATTTTGCTATTTCTATATATTGGATATCTAGTCAAAGATTTGCAAATTTGTCACGATCTAATCCAAGAATAACCGCAGTCCATCCACATTATCCACCTCTTACTTTATTCGTTTGCCTCGACTCTTCGCAGGATAATCTGTCTCGCGGTAGGATTGTCCAATAGGTCCAAATGCAGCCTTTTCAGAACCCCTTCGCATGCTTGTCTACCAGCATAAATCTTCTCCGCTGCCTCTGACAAAGACATCACTTTTTCATCCGATGCCTCTATAGGCAAATTGAGCAAAGCAATGCCTTGCGTAAGTCGTGGCATCATGAATGCCGTACCCTCTAACGGCAGATAATTGCCAATGATGCTTTGAATACCTTTTAGGTCCTGGGAAAAGCGAGCTGCGCCTAACGTTGTAAAATCCTGCCTGAGGAGGACTTCGTTGAAAAGCAAGTCTTCGAGGGCTGAGATTGCTTGACGCCAAATTCGCATGAATGCAGCATAAGAAATGGTTTTCTCGAGATAAGCCATTTTCTCTTTCATTACCTGAAGAGGTTGGTCAAGCTCGGCTGATATTGTTAAAGAGGACGTGTAATGTGGTACTAAACAGTATTAGTGAAAAGCTGGCGGAAAATGCAAGCAAATTGAACAATTCAACATTGTGAATATGCTAAATATCATGAATATACCAAACGGTGAATCATCGAGACAGTTTAAATCCTTGATGGATACTGAATAGTTCAAAGAGTATCAAGGATTCAGATGATTGGGGAGTGTAGGATGAAAGAAAAATAACTTACAGGATTGAGAGTCTTGGCCAACTGTTGTCCATTGCGCTTGAGTGAGATAAGCTCTGAAAGCAGTTGGAAATGGGTATTTGATCGCTCTCTGTAGAAGATCTCCCGCGTTGCTCCGTATCTTCTTGAAGCCTTGGATGGCTGTATCGAAGATGGTTCCTTCACCAGTGCCTAGCTTGAGCGAAGTAGATAGTTTTAGTTGCGAACAGGTAATCGGGCCAGCGATGGCGCTATCCGGATGTACACCTTGTGCTCTCTCGTCCAATTGAAAATATAATTCCACGAAAAACTAACTATAAATCAGTACTTATCGTCATCATAGTGTATTGAGAGAAAATACTAACTGCTTCGTTGCTAAGGAATTCCAGAGTTGAGATAATATGATCTGCGCTACCAAAGACTTTGCAAAGACTGACGAGCCCAGCCATTCCCTCGACAGACCGTTGTTGTTCTTTAGTGGCGCCTGTAGCTATACGGCCAACAGTTGAGGTAAGTGAGATATAAGCATCCAGAGATTCGGACAAGCGAATTTGGTACCTATCGAGAACCGCGATTTGAGTATTGAGGAAGAAACGGAGTTTATGTGAGACTTTTTTGAGGTCTTTATATTGTGTTGTAATTGCCTTTAGGAGATCAGTGACCTTGGTGGCACCAAAGGTACCTTTAGTCTTCTTAGACTCGTTGCTGTCGTAGTCAATATCTCCATTGTCTGGCGAATCCATTATTTCTTCATATCTCTGGAAGGCAAATCTTTCCTCAGCTTCTAGCCAGGGACCGAACCATTTATCTAGAACATGCCAAGTCACACCAACCCATCCAACTTCAGAATTACCACCATCATACTTGTATTTGATTCGGATAGCATCGTCCCAGACCATTAATTGGCCTATAAATTTACTCAGGTGCGCGGGGTTGTGCTGAATTTCGTTAAGAACAAGATAGGTCTTCTCTTTAAGTAATGGCAAGAGTGCTGTGACAAAAGCAGATACAGGATCTATGTAAAGTGAGTTCCCCGCCAAAGGACTGCCTAAGAAGTGTGCAGCCAGAACAGGTCCAGCATTATCTCGAAGATAAGTCTCATGCGCATCTATAACATCAATGATCCAATTTAGGTAATATTCCCCGAGCTAATTTTGTCAGAGTGATTTCATGAACGCAAGATAGAAACTTACAAGACTGCTCGCACTCGTAGGCGTGTTTCCCATGAAGTGATAGCGAAATTTCAGTTCACTCTCCTTCACCAGAACTGCGAAAGGCAGAAGTACAAGGGGCTCTCGAGCTTCTCTGATTTCTGGAGCTTGCAGGTCTAAAAGTCTTCCAAAGCATATTTGCCATTCCTTGGAAACTTCAACAGTGAGATCTGGCCAATTTAATGCTTTGAGTACATCCCGGAATTCTTTGACCATGATTTCAACCATTTGTGCCCATAAATGACTGGAAGTCTGTTCGACGTAGGAAACGAGATGAGGGGCAGCAATTTCTGTGGAATTTTGAGTCGCTTGTAAAGTCATCGCAAGTTGTTTTAATCGCACATATGGCTTTAGAGCCTCGGTAGGGTTTTCAGGTAAATTTTGATGAGCTTCCTTGGTCAGATCATCGACATCCCTCAATAGTTCAACATATGCTTGTGCTAATTCGACCTGTTGTAGTTTCTCCATCGGCCCTTTTAAACGTCGCACTGCTTCCTCTGGAGTATCTGAAGATGTAAGCATCATCATGCGCGCTCGTAAGCCCTCTTGGTGTTGCTCAAAAGCTTGAGTCTTCTGGGACATCGACGACGTGTGGTTTGCGGCGGATTTTTTGGCCTCAGCGAGCTTGGTTTTGGCATCTTTCAACTATGAGAAGTTCTTGTTAGCTAGTATAATGAAATT